GTAAGTCGGACCCTTTTTAGGAGCGACTTATTGAAATACAAACCTCCACTGTGAAAACTACTTTACAACAGAAAGTGACTGTAGACGTGATGCCAGTTTAGGACATATCACATTGCATATCCGTCTTTGAATTTTCTTTTTGACTTCGAGATAAAGAGACAATATATGGCAACAGTATTCAATGCAGGGACAAATGACTGATTTTTAGATTTGAAGGATGGACTTCGGCGGGACACAAAGAACCCACTTTCCTTGCGATAGATGACGTTATTGATTCAATGTAGTTATTCCACTTCAGGTCAGGGGGAAAACTTGTGAGCAATATGGCGCTGAGAGACGCTCTCGTGGAGTTGGGCAACAACCATGCACCAAAACACACACACACAGTCACATGAACTCAAACATAATACAACGCCACATCTAAATCTATACATATAGCCACATGCATGTAAACACGCATGAACGAACACGCACACATATTGAAATAAACACGCATAGAAGCATAAATATATAAACATATGCACATAAGCACATATGCATATGATTTAAATATGGAAGCCTATTCGACAGAATACGAACGTATAAGAAACTTAAAAAAGAAACATATATTGTAACACATTCTAGGTTCAAATATTGTTGTGGAGATAAACACACATTCCAGTATAAGACTTGGAGCCGTCCAAATAGCATATCTACTGACGCCGAGTGTCGTCAACAGAAAGTAAGTCACTCGTCACTCACTAGTCAGGAGTGGTATCCTCAGAGCTTTTCGGACTCTCTGCCTTCGGCCGGAGAGGAACCCAGACGAGGCTGTGCCAAAGGGCAGAGTCTATAAAACAGTGAATATTAATGCTGATAATGCAAGACTCTTCAGCCGGATTAAGTTCTCTAGATCACTGGCGTGTTTATACATAAATACCCCCAAAATTCGCATTTCCTTCTGCCGCGTGCCGTTAGCCTAAGGGATAGAATCTCTGACTGATGCCTAAGTGATCAGATGTCTAGCTACACTGATGAGCTGTGATAGAGCGAAAACTATCGGTCAGTGGATGACGTTATATATATATATATATATTCCGCCATTCATATATATATATATATATATATATTATATAGAACATTCATATATATATATATATATATATATATATATATATATATATAACCAAACATCCAAAGAAAATTAAATTTTGGCATTTAATGACCCATCATTTAGTCAGGTACATGCCATGCGTGATATATGCTTAGGCGATCATGTATGTTTCGATACATGACTAAAGAGGCAGATTTTTTCCCGCAGTAGGTTGCCGTTTCTTTCTGCGGTAGACCTGTTGCCATCCAAGGCGATAGAACCCGGCCTCTCCTGCTATTTACCAATAGCTGGGAGCAGAAGAGGATTCATACCTTTCCCCAGGTTATTAGGACGTAAAATGAATGTAATGGATTCGACTGGAATTCGAACTCGGTTCTCCGATTACTCCATATATATGAGGGACACTCCCGTTGTATTCGACGTATGAGGGTCAAGAGATCGGAACTGACATCTTGATTTGATTATAGTGAATTCTTTGTCTAGAAAAGCACACTTTTTGAAGGATCGAATACAGAGCCGACCGTCCGCGGATTTTGAACTCAAAGTTGTTCTTCTAGACCAGTTACCATCTAAGGCTATAGAAACCGGTCTGTCCTTTTATTATTGGGGGAGAAGAAGAGGATTCGAAACTTTCCCCAATGGTATTAGCACGTAAGTGAATGTAATGGATCCGACTGGTATTCGAACTCGGCTCATTTTCGATTCTTCAATCCAGCCGCTATCCATTTTATATATATATATATATATATATATATATATATATATATATATATATATATATATATATATATATATATATATATATATATATATATATATATATTTTGTTGATCAACCAAATATGTTAGCTCTATCTCTGATATTGAGCGCTTTCTATTATACATATATATATAATTTATATTTATATACACTTTTCACATATACATATATATATATATATATATATATATATATATATATATATATATATATATATGTGTGTGTGTGTGTGTGTGTGTGTGTGTGTGTGTGTGTGTGTGTGCGTGTGTGTGAATTTGAGAGGCGCTGAGTTATTTCTATATTGCGGTATTTCTAAATCAGCTGGAATCAATTGCAAGCCACTGACAGGTGGCCTCATTTACAGCGGTTAAACTGAATTTATACGTGCAGTTTTTATATATGCATTTTACACCGTATAGAAGATCGTATATGAAATTGTTTGTGAAAAAAATAGAAGCATCAACATTTAATCTATTTCTCATTTTTAAGATCATTTCATTTCGTCCCAAGCAGGGCAATGGGGGCATTAATATTCAAGGAGTTACTGAATGAAAGACAATATGGTGGGGAACATTATTAAGAAGAGACAATAATCAAAGAACATGATTTAAGACGACAAATGCAAGGGGTTACTGAGTGTTAGAGAAT